GCAGATAATTAGTGTAGAAGCAAGATAAAGGACAGCAAACAAAGCAAGAAAACAGCTGTAGTGCCAAAACATAGGGTTAGCATGACAAGAGTGCTTACTAGCAGCTCCTATAAGAGAGGGTGAATCAGCTAATCAACTGTTGGGGTGGAAACATGCTACAAAATTCTTTTAATGATAGCATGCCAGGCAGAATTGACAGAAAACCAACTATGCTTGAAGGAATGCAACATAAATCACCTGGATGCTTCCTCATCTACAGCAATGTAATTTAAATAAAGCAACATCCAGTGGGAAATGTGACAAGTTTAAGGTTCAGCTGCAAGCTATGTAAAAATTTTGAGAGATTTTGGAACAGAATAGTAGACATGAAGCCATATGTTTATGCCAGAATCCAATACATGTGGTTTGCTCACAATTAGATTCATGTCAATCACAGGCAAAAACATGAACTTCAAAGGAGTTACATCTGATTGATGCTGGCATAAACACGGGCATAATCTGGTCCATGTCAATGCGATCTGTGATCATCATCAGATCCTCATTAATTGCTCTGCATGATTATTCAGAACTAATAGTAATCACTGCCAGAGTTTTTAATGGTTGTCAACAACATTCAGAGTGTGCACAATGACTAATACACAGGTGGGGAATGTAGCTGATTTCAGCTCTTAAATGTCTGGTGTATAGATTTAACAGAAGTGACCCCAAGTGACTGAACAACTTCCAAATGAGAAAGCTGACTTCAAAATGTAATTAAAGTTGCTTGAATATCATAACATATATCAGCAACAACATGGATATAATTATTACCCTATCAGAGCTGGAAAGACATGAATGCTAGGACTTATCTTTGCTAACATATTGGTCAGCCAAAGTACATTTGGATAAACCTCTTTGCCCATTTCTCTTTTTAGTACCAGTGCAAATGCCCAAGGCCATGTGGACAAATCATCTTTTGTACTCAAAAGACAATAATAATTTAGGTGTTAGTATCTCCAGATACTTTCTTCTCTTTCACCTATGTCTGACTAGCAGGTGAACATATCTTACTTCTGTCCCTCCTTCCATCATAAATGCTATAACTTCCTCTGTAAGATACTGGGCCATATGACCATTCTTTTCCTTTTCAAGTTCCATATATCACCAGGTGTAGGAGACAACAGTCACTTCAATCAGACATGAAGGAATATCCTTTATCTGCCTGTGCTGAAAACTGAAGCATCTCCTGGAATATTTGACCGGGTCATTGCTACATTTTATAAATAACACAGCATAGCAAACACTAACTGTACATAAACTGAATATATCTTACAGTTTATAGTGTGATCTTAGCAATTCACAGATCCAACAATTCACATATTAGTAATAGATTACAGACCTACATGTACAGTAATTACTTTCTATACTGCAGTTGGGGGAGGTTTTGAGAGACAGAGTGGAACAAGTAATATCTGCAGGTCTATGAATTCTTTTTCTCCTTCCGGGCCACCTGCTTGGGCAGAATTTGAGGATTTCAGATATTTGTGAAGGGAGCCTAGAAGAGAAATGGAGAGAGTCTATTTACAGGAGTATGCAGCGACAGGAAAAGACAGAACGGATTCAAACTGAGAGTAGTATTAGATTAGATTAGATATCAGGAAAAAATTCTTTACTGTGAGGGTGGTGAGGCACTGGAACAGGTTGCCCAGAGAAGCTGTAGATGCCCCATCCCTGGCAGTGTTCAGGACCAGGCTGGATGGGGCTCTGAGCAACCCGGTCTAACGCAAGGTGTCCCTGCCCACGGTAAGAGGGTTGGAACTACTTGATCTTTAAGGTCCCTCCCAACTCAAACCATTCTACGATTTCTCGATTCTGGGATGGCGACGCGACAACCCCAGCGGAACGAAGGAAAAGCGTTTAAAGGGAGAGGCGAAGCCTTTGGTTTCAGCCGGGGCTGTGGCAGCACCGAAAGGGCGCCGACGCCCCCGCGGCCGCGCCGCTCACCGCCCCCGCTCCGCCTGCGCGGCGCACGTCAAACCGCCGTGCCGCCCTCCCCCCCTTCCACCCACGCGAGACGGCCCCTGATTGGTCCGTCCCCCGCCCGCCGTGGCAATCGGAAGGCCGTCCGGGACCCCCGCCTCTTTAGAACGTGCGCGGTGGCGGCGGCCCCGGAGAGCGGCGCTGCGATGGCGGCGGCGCGGGTGGGCGCGTGCGCGGGGCGCTCCCCGCCAGGCTCTGGGCCGCCTGTCCCCGCTGCCGGGCGCGCCCCCCCGGCCGCCGCTCACTTCGCGTTCCAGCCGCCCGGCAGCCCAGCGAGTACAGGTGAGGCGGCGGGACTGGGCCGGGTCCATCCCACGGGCCGCCCTCAACCTCGCTCTGCCGCCGGGTCCGCCCCGCCGCCTCCTTGGGGGACGCCTCCGCCCGGCCGCGACAGAGCGAAGGGAGGGAGGGAGAGAGAGAGAGAGAGAGAGACGGGTGGGAGCTCCCCGCCTCCGCCCCCCTTAGGCCGTGTGACCCCGCTGTGACCTCGGCGCTTCCAGCCCTCGGGTTTTTCCGCGGAAATCCTGGGCTGTGGGTGGGAAGGCTCCCGGGGGCCGCTGGTGCCTCGGGTGGTGAAATGTTTCGGACGGTCAGTGCCAGAGCTGCACCAGGCCGGCCCCTCGTCTGCTCAGACCTGCGAGGCCTTCCCCGGCCCCTCTCCCAGCGGCAACGCATCTGGCAGTAACCTACTCACTGACATCCTCCCCGAGCTTTGTACTGCCTGCTTAGGTCGTGACTGTGATAATAAACCTACGGTGAATAAAGGCTGCTGTCCGATGAAAAGTTCGAGGTCATCCCTGTGGTCACATGGTTGAGAGTAAACACAGATCACTTGGAAATGAACAGGGTGATGAAAGTTGCTGTTTTGACTTAACTTTTGAGATGCATCCCTGCAAATGACCAGTGCCATGTTCACCTGGAAGCAGCTTGGCTGCTGCAGAATAGCTGTTTCTCTCACATGAATGTCACTGTCCTCTAGGTGTTACTCAGTTGGACATCTTGGTGTTGCAGCTTCATCGTGACTAACAGAGGTGGCTGAGAGTTTTCTCGGCTTTTTCTATTAGTGATGAGGAGGTACAGGTCTCCAAGGTGGTCACAGCAGAAAGCTTGTGTGCTGCAGGTCGCTGCTTGAGATGATGGTGAAGAAGCTCTAGTGGGGTGGGCCAGTTGCTGCCATTTACTAATAGAAAACTAGTTCCCTGTGAGTTAAAATACACTTTGAAATTCTGTGAAAAGTAGTGAAAGTGAAACAAAATTTTGCCAATACTGAACCTGATATTGCTGAGATAATGCTTTTCCAACTTCACAATTCAAATCTGAAGGGCACAATTAGTTCCCCCTTCCCTGCAAGGGCTGATACGAAAGCCTGTTTTATAAGCAGAAGAAGAAAGTCAGAACTATCTGTGTGAGAAGCTCCTGACAGTTGCTTAAATAATAAGCATTTATTTATATCAAATACTGGAAGGAATGAATCTTGTGGAAAAGGTGACTTAAGCACTGATGTGGATGACTTCAGTGATGTGGTGACTTCCCACTGATGTGGGAAAGGGAGAAACAGCTGCTGTTCCCCAGCTTTCTTACCCTTGAATTTGTAAATTTTATTTGTAGCTTTCATATAATTTCAACAGTTCCCATAACAATTTTTTTTTACATTTTCCTCTTAAAGGGCCAGGTAAAGTGTAACGAGTTCAAGAAGCATTTGACCAATGCTTTCAGGCACATGATGTGACTCTTGGGGATGGTCCTGTGCAGGGCCGAGAGTTGGACTTGATGATCCTTGTAGGTCCCTTCCAACTCAGCATATTCTGTGATTCTGTGAAGTTACTAAGCACAGGAATGTGTAGGAATGCAGCTACTCAGCTCTGGTTTGGCATGACATGAGTCTTTTAACAAAAAATACTAATGTTAATTAACAATTTAGGAGAAAGGGAAGCTGAATGTTTGGTGAAAGGTACTGTAGCTACTGGAAAAAGTATGTAGTTCTCCTTTCTGAATTCTAACACCTGTTACGTTTGTCTGGAATCTTCGCCAAACCATCTTTTTTTTTTTATTCATTCTTTACATGCTGTGCATGTTGATAGATAGCATTCTCCTGGGCTGTGGCTTCTGGTCATGACTTAGAGGCCTTGCTGGTTAAAGAGTTACCAAATGTCAGCCACGCAATTTCTTATCCATTCAGTTTCTTCTAAGGCATTATTTTATTTGCTTGGAGAATATGAGTTGGTCACACTAGTGAGGACTGGCCTATTTTTTGGTCCATCTTTGCTTTCAGGCCCGTTTGTTTTTCCCTGCAGTGCTGGAATGAAGAAAGGCACTCCAGTAGCCTTTCTTGGTTTGAAGGTTTTCTTTCAATTTCAGTTAAAATTCAAAGATTTGAATACAGCAATCTAATGCATTTGCTTATTTTGGCACCAAGTTGTCTTTCTTTGAAGTATGAATTTGATGCTTCTGACACTTTCTAACTGCAGTGCAGAGAGCAGGCCAGTGGTCTAAAAAAATTGATAATGTTACATGTCTGTAAATGGGAAAGGCTGGTACTTTAAAAAATGTAACTAAAGCATGATGAAATAAGCTTAATGAGATCTGGTGAATCTTAACAGAAAGGATCCCAGTCCTCAGAACAATAATACTTTTCAAAGTTTCTTCCTTTGAAAAAACTGTTGTATTAGTCATTGTTCCTGGTGTTTGACTGAGCATTGCAAAGCTGCATTTTCTCTAACTAAGAGCATAATTTTTTTTAAAAATGGTTGCATGCAGTGTAGTAGAATTATAGTCCTTGGGATTGCGAAGTATACCATACTCAATCTCGTCTATCCCATAATTTAAGTTTATTCGGGAAACGAATCTTGAGTACTCCTAACAGGGATCTTGTTTTTGATGGTTGACTGAAGTTTTTAGTCATGTTTGCACCAGTGTTTTCTAATGTACTTTGTGTTTTGAACCAAATTAAATTGCTAAATGATCACTTTCACACAGGGCAAACTCAGAAGATGAACCTCTTCCAATCCATAACAAGTGCCTTGGACAATGCTTTAGCCAAAGATCCAACTGCAGGTATCCTATAATTGTTAGTGTGTTTTGCTTTGTATAAACTGTGTTTTGGTTTGCCTATTTGTGTGCAATACTTAATGCATTTTTTATGGCCTTTAAAGTTTTCTAATAAGTTATTTCTAGATCTCAAAAAAAAAAAAAAATCTTAAAAATGTGTTGCTTTAACAGATTACTAATGGACTGTGTGATCTGAGATGCAGTTGTGTCTTCTGTTATTAACTCTGTGCATTTTGCTTGAAAGCCAGGACAGAAAGATACATTATTTAACATACTTCTGGTATTACTGATGTGAACTGTACTTAGGGGCAACTTGAGTCCCACCAGTAGGAGTTTTAAAAATGTAAATATTACTTTTAAATTTCTTAAACTTTCTATTCTCTAAAACTGATATATATATTTAGAGACTGTATATTCCTTGCTCTGTCCATTCTCCATTCCCTTCTTCCCCACCCTCCAAAATTAATTAAAAACTTTACTGATTTCAGTTCATCATTATGCATAGGCAATGTAAGATTTGCAAGGCTTTTTGTGGTCTGGATAACCTATAACTTCAAAGATTATGGTTCACTATAGCTGAATTAAAAGGCTTATTCTAAACTCTTGCATAAAACTATTTATTCCACTTTTAATTTGTATACATAAGAGGAGGTATTTTGCTTCTGTTGTCCTAACAAAGGCATGATGATTGCCAGATATCTGAAAAAGATGTTTTATGTCATGGACACAGCTGTGAAAGCTGCACCATCTTGTGTAATTTTAGTTTTTCTTTTTAGTATTTTAGTAACTCCTTTTGGCACTGCTTGAAGCACTGCTCAACCTAAAGTCTGACCGGTCATCTAATCTGTTGGGACAAATTTCATGTTGTCTGCCCAGTACTATGCCTGTATACATTCTCTCTCAGTCTACAGCTGTGTTATATTCACCTTGATTATATTATATTATATTATATTATATTATATTATATTATATTATATTATATTAGACAACTGAGGGTTAATTAGTGCCAAGGACAGATTTTAGTACCATTTCTGTAGAATCAGCCATACAAACGTAAGTAGAATGTTAGCCCAGCAGGAACCTGGAGTCATATATAATCTTCAGGCTTTAGAGAGCCAGTTACTCCAAGGTTCCAGTCTTGCTGCTCTGCTTTGCAGAGCTGGATCTTTGTAAAGCTCTTTGCAAGACCATGTTGGAGTTCTGCAGTCCAGACTGTACAGTCCAGTGAGCTGTCACTATCACTGCACTTACTGAATTAATTAGGACTTCTCGCAATACAGAACATATCCTTCATATGTTTTTAGTTGTATGGGAATTGAGCAACTGTTGTTTAAGTAGGGGAAATTCTCATACTTGTGTTGATGAGAATTAGAATCTGTCCAGGAAAATTAGAGTCTGTCCAGGAAAATATGTTTTAGTGACTGAACAAAATGAGTAAAGCCACACAAATTTGTGGATACCAGCATTAAATGGGATTTTATTTTTTTTTATATGCCAACTGGCTGAAAGTGAGTAACCATATGGTAACAGAAAGGCCTTACAAAGATTTTAAGTACATAAAATCTCCCCCAAATTATTCTTAAAAATTAATTAGAGAAATAATCTGGGGACATACTTCAATCATATACTCCATGACTGTATTCATTTTACATCATTATCGAAGTTATTTTTCTTTAAATGGTCATTGATGTCAGAAGTGTGTTAATCCCCTTTAGTGCTTCCAATCAGAAATTTATTTTATTTAATTTAAACAAGAAGGTTAACTTATTTTGCATCTTTTAGAATATGGAGAGTATTGAGGAATTTGGGAATTATCAGAACTGACCCTAGTTCATGCAAGGTGCTATTAGTGGTACTGCTGCACATCTTAAACACTTAAAAAATTGAAATGGGCAATACTTATTTCTGCGAAATAAATAACAAAACTGTTTTAAGAAAAATTAGACATCATAGTTCCATAAATGCAATGGAAACCCCCCCAGATTAGCTGGTACAAAGCAAAGTTTTAAAGGCAAATACTTTTAGTGATAAGACTTTACTGACTGCAAAGATAGTAGTGTTGAATACTGAGATTTGTCCTAGTTATTAGATATTCATATTTTCTGTAGAGGAATTCCTTTGAAGTCACTCTCCAGGGATCTGGCAAGTAGGTTTGGAGAAGGTTGAAAATTTCGTGTTGGATCAGTATTTCGAAGACAACTTCAATTTGATAGTTTTCAAAACACTATATCTACTGAAATCTGTGGATGAAGAATGCAAATGGTTACCATTTGAAGCAGAAGACCTAACTTCAATGACTCTATAGTGAATGAATGTAATTGCTTTTTAGAGTTTTATTCATTTAGTTTTAGGTATTGTGATATTATAGGATATTTCAGAAAAATAAATAGATGGTTTAATGAAAGCCTAACTGAATCAGTTTCATGAATTCTGTTGGTTCTTCCTTTGTTATAGTGCACGAGAAATGCTTAGGTCTAGATAGATCTTGTAGTGAAATGAAATGTAAGGTGTTACTCACATTAGTGTCTCATATAAAAACTTTTGAAACATGTTCATTAAAAGTAAGATACATTAGAGTAATATTACCCTCCTCTGCTGTCCTTATTTTCAGTAGTGTTTGGTGAAGATGTGGCCTTTGGTGGAGTCTTCAGATGTACAGTTGGCTTGCGAGACAAATATGGTAAGTTAACTTATAAATCTGACATCAATTTCATTTAACATCTCTGCTCTTTTTTACCCCTCTGTGTTTTTAGGAGAAGAAGACATAGGAGAGAAGCCTTGTAAATATACTTTTGTTTTCCTTTCTGTTGTTCTTGGAAATAGAAAAAGCTGTGAATGTGTTACCATTTCTGTAAGCTTTTCAAGCTTTTGAAACTTGCTGATGTAATTTCAGGAGTCTTCTATTTCTCAACTACCTTTATCAATGTAACTTCATTTTTTTGAATTGTTTTCTGACTGGATATTTAATATTGTGGCCCTATTACTGTAATCAGTTATAGCTTAGCAACAATACATGGTGATGTTTTTTCATCCTATCTGTTAAGAAGCATGAAGAAATTACATTAAAATGGACTTAAACTCTTTGTTAAATAGTTTTTCCCCTAGCATGGCCTGGAAAGCCAATAGAGAAATTTTATGGCTAGGCTTGTCCTTTATCTATGTGATTGGTTTACTTATTTGGGAGACTTATGGGAAAGCATTCAGAGAAATGCTACGACCTTGTCTCAAAGAGTCTTAGAAGTAGCCTTTACACTGTAGAGAAAAAAGAGGTTTACAAAAGTATATGAAAAAATAAGATGGTACCTAAGTGTCTAATAGTTCAGACCGTGGAGGTGAGTTCAGTGGAAGAGGAAAAATAATTAATTGCAGGAATTTTTTCTTAAAAACGTATTTTTTCTAAGTAAGCTTTAAATAGGAGATTCCTTTAAAACTTGCAGGAACTTTTAAAATTTTTTAAAATTTTAATTTTTTGTTTTTGTGTGATTTGTGATTTAAATTAATGCATATATTGTGTTCATTTTGGAAGAAACTTGGTTCATCAGCTTCTGTGGGACAGTCTCCTACAGCGGAGTTTCAGTGGCTTCCAAGGATGGTGGGGGAAGGAAAAGACTTTAAGATCCTATATTGTTGCACAAGCATATCAGTGTTACATTCACAGTTCTTGCTGGATAGAATGTAACCACTGAGTTCTGACACCTAAAGGTGTCAGAAAATCTAAAGGACTTTTCCAAATCCTTCACTGCTCTTCCAATTAAGTTTCTTCTTTGGTTATCCATTTGGTGTGGTGCTCTCAAAACCTGGCCATGCAAACCCAAAACACAGGAAAAATAAATGTTCTTTATGCTGCTGCTGAGGTGCTGATAAGCAAACAAAGACAATATCTGAAATACAAGTTTGGACAGAAAAAGAAGTCTGAAGATAAAGTGAATTTGGGGCTCATTTACCTAATGATAATTTAACTTTGTAAGGTGGGTAAGACGACACAGATAACTTGGCTTCTTTCTTCACTAGTAGTGAAATTCAGTAGAAAATAGGCCATGACTGAAGAGGGAATGGCAAAGATGAAGTAGAGGATGTACTGAAAATATAGTTACAGTGCTGATGAGAACCAGGAAAGACTAAAAGTGCAAAAATTAAGGGAATCCAATATTTTGAGGGGTGTGTCTGTGTATCAGCGTTGTCTTAGAGATTAAATAAGTTCTAGGTGGAACGCTTGTTTTATGCAAAGGAGGAGTTTCAGGTGGAATTGACAAAAAAAGAGCTTCATGGATCTTAAAGAGGAAGTTTACATACACTTACTGACTCTTTTTTTTTCTCCATTTTCCTCCTGCACTTATTATCAACATAATAATAGGTGATACAAGTAATATAATATAAGGTTGTTTTTATATGTTGATGTAAAATATGAAGGAATGAATGCTTTTTTCTCCTATTCTGGAAGAGAGAAGCTGATTTTTTGTTTAGTTTCTTTTTCCTTGCAGGTAATCAAAATCACTAGGTGGCAGTCTATGCCTGTGAGTAGTTATTTTGATACAAATTAATAGTTTCTTTTTAAGCACTTTTATAGAGGTCAAGGTTTAAATATCACCTAAGATTATAGTAGGGAGAATTTAGTATACTAATACTCAGTAGTAGTATTATACAGATGTTGGCTGCTATCCAGAATGTCTCTCTGGAGAGACAAAAAAGAGAAAAAATAATTCTTTTAGAATAAATCTGTCATTAAATATAAAAGCTGCATTTTTTTTTCCAGAAGAACCATCAAACCCGTGCACAGTGTAATGTGGTAGTATAAACACAGCTAGAGGCCTGTACTATCAAGTGAAAGAAGACAAGCTCATTGACTTTGTAAGGAAATAAATCCAGCCTTTTGATCAGATGAATTTTTAACATGCTACCGAGAATTTTGTTTGAAAATGTTTAATTAAGGAATCATATGTAAAGAAGGCAGAAGAAAGTTTCTTTTCCATGATAGCTGTGACTTATGATGCTATGTTTGTTCCTATACATCTTATGTCAAGATCTGAAACACGATTCCAGTTTTCTGGCATCGAACTGAATACTTAGAAATCTTTTTCAGTATAATCCTCCATCCTGAAAATGAGTAGACTTTCTGAAATATTTATGTAGAGTGTTCCTTTCATATAAGAGAAGGGAAATAAGTATTCTACAGTTTTTTTTCCTTTGTCCCTTCCCTCTGGTCGTGTGCAGTGGAAGGCATATTAATGTTATATTTCTTATCTGCTTTCCCACTGCCCTCTGACAGGTTTTTGGTTGTCACCATTTTGCAGAGGTTACATCCTCTAACCTCTGGAGTATCTTTATTGAAATAAGGAATATGTACTGTTTTATAGTCCTGCTGTGTGGAGATGTGTCCTGTCTTTAAAGCAATGTGATGTTATCTGCCTACTGTGTTTTTATAGCCTAGGTAATGTGTGCAAACATTTTTTAAATTTTATTTTCTTAAGAGTAAGTACATTATTATTTCCATCTTTTAGAGGAAATGCTATACAAATGAAATAACTGTACGATTGTCTTTAAGTTCTGCAAATCAATTTGAAACAATGATCTTGGATTGGGAATACATGTGTCCCATTGCTCTATCTGAAGCATGAAATAAAGTTGCAGCATGTAAAGATCAGTACTATCCACATGACAGAAATACAGAGGAGATCAGAGGTAGGAATTAGATGATAGGAGGTAAAGAAATGGGAGGGAAAAACAGAGGATAAGGTAAAAATGGAGAAAGTGGACAGAAGTGAAGACTGAGAAACAAGAAAGATGAAATAGTGATTGACAAGATATGCCAGTCAGAAGAGTGCCAGGGCAGGTTTTTTTGGGGTAACTCCAAAAAAAAGAGGCGTGTTATTCTACTGTAGCCAAAAAACGAAGGTCTTAAGATTGTATAAACATTTCCTTGAATGCTCCCTCTGGTGTCCTCCAAACACCTTCAACTTGAGGGCTTCCTTATCTAAAAGTGCCTCTGTGTAGTCATTAGCCTCTGTAGCAATTTGTCTTTCATACCATTTTGGCCTGCACTTGAAGGGAGTCTCTAGTGTGCACTTACTGCCATGTCAAAAGACTGTCCTTAGTGAGGGTAAAGGTCAAGAGCTTTGTGACTATTTCAGAGCTCGATATTCTGAGAATGTGGAATGGGGTCAGTCTTTTCTCAGAACCCTGGGAATCCAGCAGATAAAAGGTGGGCTTGACAGGTCTTTCCCTACAGCAGTGTTTGGAGGAGGCTGATTTTTTTTGTGTTTATATGTTCACTTTTATAGATGACTTACTGAGATTTTGCTCAATCCCCTATTACACAGCAGTCTGCAGTTCTCTTCCATGGAATGTCCTTCTATTTGCCATCAAGGGAGTCTAGGTGACTGTAAATTAGATTCCCAATATTTGCAGGCCTGAATAGGTGATATTCTAAGTTTTTGAGCTATTGAAAATTATTTTTGAACTTAAAGAGTAGTGTAAATGAGTTTTTTACTTTTCAGGAGGGAAATCTTGAACAATGGTGTTTCTATTCACATACAACTATTTGCAAATGCAGGTAGAATGTGAATACTTTGAATGGAAATTTTTATTTCAAAGATTATCTCAGTTCCTGGAGAGTGGCACTTTGGTGTATCCCATCACAAGTGAGTGCTTGCCCAGGATAGAAGAGACTTGGCCTTAGTGCTGTCCCTCAGGAGTTCTGAACTTACTCCACAGATGGTTGACTGAAATACCAAAGCTGATCTTTGTGGAGATACAGCAAAAATGGTTTTGTCAGCAGTTGTTCTTTTGAAATATTTTGGAATTAATTTGTCTTTTGCTCAGTGATTCATTTGTCACTGTTTGGGATCCTCTGTGTGATAGCAGAGTGAACAAGAGGAAGATAGGTTTCTTCCTTTCTGAATTAATGTACTGTCACTGATTGGAGAGTATTTCACTCATGGTTTTTATTTTTGTTCATTCTGGTTTCTTTTAGGTGTTCTGTTTGGTCTCTGTTATTGCTGTTCCCCTCTTTTTGTTTGCCCATGCACACAGAGATGTACTGCCCACAAAAGCTTATGGTGCCCTCATACAGAGTCAATTAGAACAAAATGCTTTTCATAAGGTTTCTGTGTAACATTGCTGATATGTTCTAGAGTGATATTTGCTGCCTTTATTAGCAATGCAATGTTGACTGTCAGTTTGTGGCCTGATTTAGTCCCCAAGTCCTTTCTAATCTACTGCTTTGCAGTCACTAATTGTTTTTTTTTTCTGGGGGGACACTTGATAAAATGGAACTCGGTAGGAACAACTGTGTGTCACTCCTGTACAAAACAAAATCAATCTCAGATTATTTCCTTTCAGGTAATTCTGAGTTACATACGTGGCTAGAGACATTAATACATGCAGACAGTAGTAAATGAGGAATATGCAGCTTCAATTTTTTTTTTCTCCTTACTCATTTTTCATAGCTAAAATAAATTTCCTCTCGTGGAGCGAAAGGGTGCAACAAGTACACACATGTAACTTGAAATTTAATTATCTTTTTTCCCTAAATATTTTCAAGCATATAGGATTGTTTAATAAATAATCCTTCCTATGCTTTATTATTTCGATGCAGCTAGAAGTGTAGATAAAGTTGGTAGGATTTTTTTCTTTCAAACTCTATTTTAAAAAAAGGGTGAAATAGGAGGGGAGCAGATTATA